GGGGTGTTACATGATGGAATGCTCTCCCAAGCCAAAAAAAAAGTTTCTTGAACACAGAAGGTTAGCACAGATGGGAGAAGACCCTGTACCCTGCCATACTTCTTTTCTTTAGACAGGGATTTATATATTTCCAATTTTTTACACAGGACAACAGTCCATTATGACAGCCCACATACAGGTTCACCATAAGAATTACACCTGAATTCTTTGTATATTGCATAAAATGAGATGGTAGAAGGAAGACCATATTCTTTCAGATGGCAGGTGAAGGAGGCCGTTTTTTGAAAACATTCCCCCATTAAAAATATTCCGTGTATGTAGCAAAACAGCACAGAAGCAAGAAACTACACGAAAACTTTGCCAGGCTCGGTTATAGGAAGCAACTAACAATGACACACACAATAACATTCTATATGAGACAGAGTTCTACCATCCCGTTCTGGATCACGTGCATCATCTCTTTCCCCAGTTGCAATCAACCACTCCTTATCCTAAGTGTCCCGCACTACAACACAGTCTTGCACTTTTGGCTTTCTGCGAATAAGCCAAAGGGGATCCAGCCCCCCTGAATGTCCCTCCCCCAATTTAGTCTGTCTAATATATTTCCTTTGGTAACAGAAACCTCCCAACAGGGGTGCCGATCCTCTTACCTACCTCTGGACAGAGGAGGCCTCGCACACTGCGCAGTGTGACTGGCTGGCTGCTTTGCACGCTGGCAGGCGTTTTAGCTGTTGCCCAACTCCATAAACACTGCATTGTTACCACAGTAATCTCTTCCCTGAACTTAAAGGATTTTACAAGCTGTCATTAGTCTCCTTTTAAACACAGGCTTTCAAGGTTTTAAAATGTAAAAAAAGAAAACAGGACACAACCAGCCACCCGGAGTTTCCAGAGCGGGACCCCGACAGGAGCAGGAGATTCACAGAGCACAGCCCAGCTTTCTCAGCAGACTGGAGGAGTCAGCAGATATTTCGAATTGTAGCAGACGGGCTATTTCTGAAAGGGGGGGATGGGGTGGGTCTAGGGGCTTTCCAACCTACTCTGCCTGGCAGATTTATTTTTGGAATTGGCAGGAAAACAGAAGCATGGAAAAGCAGCCCAACTTTAAATGACTAAAAGGGGGGGGGGAGCCAGGCTAGGAAAAGTCCGTAAGAAAAAAGAATTCAGACCCTCCAACAACTCACAGATTGTATTTAGAAAAGTAATAAAGACACTTGTACTTCTGGAACCTAGCAGTTCGAAAGCAAGAAATTGCAAGTAGATAAATAGGTACCACTTTGGTGGGAAGGTAACAGCGTTCTGTGCGCCTTGGTGCTTAGTCATGCCGGCCACATGACCACGGAAACGTCTTCGGACAGCGCTGGCTCTTCGGCTTTGAAACGGAGATGAGCACCGCAATCCTAGAGTCGGACTCGACTGGCTTTCGAGCAAGGGAACCTTTACCTTTACTTACTTCTGGAACACCCCTGATTCCCAGACCAAAGACTGCGTGCAGGCCACAGGCATGGTCGCAGACACCTTTGGAAAGATGCTTCCATTTACAGCATGGGATGTTCACTGCTTGTCCTGCACTAACTTAAAAACATAGCACTGTACGTCTTTGGATGAAAGATCTACGCTTCCACAGAAATGGTCTTGTCATCCTCTCACAATCTGCATCCAACCGGCCTGGTTCCTATATCTATATGAACGATGGTCCGGCCTAGCCCGATCTCATCAGATCTTGGAGGCTAAGTGGGGCCAGTCCTGACTGGTACTTGGATGGGAGGCTGCCAAGTGACACAGTATGCAGAGGCCAGCAATGGCACACCACCTCCATTGGTCTCTTGCCTTGAAAACCCAACGGGGTTGCCTGCGACTTGCTGGCCCTTTCCACAGCCACAGCCAGTTCACTTCATTGCATCTTGTGGAAGGACTACCTGCCGTGTCAGAGATCCATGCTCAGCTCTCCCAACACTTCCATTGGCAAGCAGCCACTGTGCATTATTTGGCGATTAGTGCCCATTAGTTAGAACATGAGCAACATGAGCAACATGAGCAACGGAACTCTGAAACAGAAATATAAGGTTGGGTCCAGCTTTCTGCTGGTGAAAGAGGGAGGAAAAGGTCCTCTTGAACCACATTAAAAAAAGGTTAGCTGGGTATCAGAAGACCTCTTTGTTTAAATGCCTGGTGGGGAGAGAGGCTGGGCAACATCCGAATGAAGAAGCTGGCTGGATCGAACCCAAAGTCATGCAGCAGGATCCTTAGGTGGAAGAACTGACCGGGGGGGTGGGGGGGTAAGATTTTGAATGCTTTTCCATGTTAATAAGGCCCTGCAAACAAAAAAACAGAACAGAGGATAAAGGACAGGGTTAGAACATTTCTCCAGGGAAGAGAAGAGCCCCTCTCTACAGGGAAATGGGGTGACGGTTTTTCCGAAGTGGAAGAAATGATGCAGAAGACATAAAATAGATTGTACGAGTTGACCCTAATTTCTAAAGACCAAATGGAAAAGAGGGGCTGAATGGTAAAGAATGGAGCTCCAGCAGTTCGCAGAGAGTAAACTCCCAAAACAGAATAAAATGAATACCAATTAGAAGAGATAAGAACCACAGAGGACCTATGTGATTCTTCACAAAAAGAGTTTAAGCATGGAACAATTGCTTGCCTTAACTTCTGATCCTGTATCTATGCACAAAAAAAGAACTGGCTTGTGGGGTTCTGACAGTATCAGACTAGGACAGGAGAGACCACCATGAAATTCACTCAGTGACCTTAGGCCAGTCTCTCTCTCTCTCTCTCTCTCTCTCTCTCTCTCTCTGTCATCCTAACCTACCTCAGAGGGTTGCTGTGAACTTAAAAGTAAAGAAGACAGAACGAGATACAATGCCCTCAAACTCATTTGAATGAAGAGCAGGAGTTGGGGGTGGGGCATAGATCAGCAATAGCTTTGTGCACAGGATGTCCAAGAGTCAGTCTTTGGCATCTCTAGTTAAACAATCTTCACAACAATCTTGTGAGACAGATTAGGTTGAGAAAGAATGACTGCCCCATGCCCCCCCCCCCGCCCCCTGCCCCCCCCCCCCAGGAAACTTCACGACAGAGGCAGGATTTGAACCTGGATCTTCCAAATCCTGGTCCAGTACTCTAGGGTTGGAGGAGCAATCATCCTGTGGAGAAAAAATTATGAAGACAATCAAGGCCTCAGCTACTTATGGGAAGTTCTGACCACAAAGTTTCTGGCGACTGCTAGAGCCAACTTTATCACTTCTGGATAGCTCTAGGAATCACCAGGAACTCTATGGTCAGAACTTCTTATAAGGAGATGAGGTCTTTTTTAAAAAAAAAACAAAATTCTCCCCAGGACAATCGCACGCACGCACACACACACCGGCCCCAGTTTCCACCCGCCAATCAGCTGAGCATCCATGGGCAAAGGCTATAACTGGCCAGAGGTCTCCTGCCATAAGTGAACAAATGGAAACCCTACTAACGCTCTAACCACATTGCCCTGCTGGATCTTCGCTTCCTCTGGCCACCACGACAGATGAATATTCCATTCATGGGTGTCTCTGTGAAAACGCACATTCATGTTTTTACGGCACCTCCTGTTGGATTACCCCTATTTTACATAGACATCACCTCCCCATGGAACCCTGGGCGATAACCATACTCCTAGCAGATTAGCACCCTGAAACAACTCGGTGGCAAAATATCTATTGATAGTGCTATTTTTAAAGTGGCTTTGAAATGCTGTAGGTAGTTTTATGTATACAATTTTTTTAAATTCTAAAACTAATTTCCATAATATTATGGGATTTCATAGAGTTTATGGAAGCCTACAAAATGTTGTTTATTAATATTGTTTATGAGTATGTTTATTAGTTTTTATTGTAAAAATGTTTGGTCTAAATTATCTTGTAATTATATGTAATGTGTTTTATAGTAGCTGTTTGTACGTTTGGCTTAAGACCTCTGGTCAATGAAGCTAATAAACGAACGTTTTTACGGCACTGTAACATTTCCCCCATCAGATTCATTATTCAAAGTGAGCCTAATGGACGAAAAGAAACACTCTGATTGACCCTGGGCCCAAGAGTCTTGCTAGAGGACAGCCAGTGTGGCATAGTGGTCAGAGTGCCACGCTAGGACCTGGGAGGCCCCGCGTCAAATCCCCACTCAGGCCACAGAAGCCTGCTGGGTGACCTTGGGCCAGTCACGCACTCTCCGCCTCACCTCCCTCCCAGGGTTGTTGCGAGGATGAAATGGAGGAGAGGAGAGCAACCAATGCCAATTTGAGCCCCCATTGGGGAGAAAGGCGTGATATAAATAAAGTAAATAAAATAATAACTTAAGACTCAACTTCTCTTCACATGGAAACAAGTAAAACCTCTCCATCCTGGCACATGAGCACATACCCAGTCTCCAAAACAAGCACTGGATGAATCTCTCTCAAAAGCTGCCTCAATCGGACAGGGTCTCTCCCCCCCCCCCCTTTATCTCCTGCTGTGTCACTCTTACAGTCATTGAGACAACAGTCATTCCAGGTCATAATACACACACACACACACACACACACAGGGTGCTTTCCCCTTGTGTTCTGCCAGGACACCTCCACAACAAAAGGAGGGGGTGGGGACTTTTCTTTGCTTAAGCAATTCTAGAAACCCCCAATAGTGCCTGTCAACAATACCATTGAGATAAGGCAACCGCCACCTTTGCTACAGGAGACATGGAAAACTACTGGTTCTGAATAACAAAGGAGCAGAAACATTTTGGTTCTAATTTTGGAAGAGGGAGGGCGGACTTCTTTTTTTTTGGGGGGGGGGACCAAAACCAACCTTCCCTGCAAATAATAATGTTACTACTTACCAGAAACAGTAATTATGTGTACTGATGGAAGACATCAAGAGGCAAGAGACCCCACAGTGACCTGCCATGGGGAGCAGATCAACCCCCTTCCCAATTCCTTTAGGTGCCATATCATTTCTCAAATCAGAGAACTGGTGATGATCTTCTAAAGCCTGAGATGCCTTGGGCCCAGGATATCTCCCCTTTCCGGGATGCCAAGAGCACAACACTCTCCCTAAGATTCTTCTTTCACACCACTTAGACCCAACTCAAATGTCATGTGTCCACATTACTTGCCCAGCTCCATGACCCAAGCCATTTCATCTCCCTGATCCCCTCCTCTTGGAAGCCCCAGTCCCCCATTATGAGTCTATCCAGGACCTCAGGTCTTTACTGGGGCCCTCCTCTGTGGCACGGCACTTTCAGCAGCATGAAGGGCAGACAGGTGGGTGGGATGGGGCCTTTTCAATCATGGCACCCAGGCTCCAGAACTTTCCCCACCACACTCCTACTCACATACGGACACACTTTGGTCTTTGCCTTCTGGCACTTTGTCAAGGTGCTTGGGAATGAGGCAACTTCTATCTTCCCATGCAACTATTTTTGAGACCATGCTGGTTTAAGGGAGGGGATGGGGTGTCTGTGTTCATCTGTTGTTGACAAATCAATGCCATTTGGATGAGGGCGAGTTCTCCCGGCAGCCTCCTTTGGGGCAGCCAATGAGGATGACTAGTTCCCAGACAGCTACGAGCAACACGGGGAGGGATGTACGTTTTGTTAAAAACAGCAACTGTGTATAAACTACCAAAATATTTATCACAAACATCAAACAAGTTCATCATCTAGCCCACATAAAGTTTTTTCCCCAAACGTTCAACTCTCCTATTGATTTTTTTAAAAGAAAAATTAAAGGGTTAACACCTTCTGGCATGATGTTACAAACTGTTGACCTTAAAACCTTAGCTTGTTGTTTTGTTCTGACTTTGAATACCTTAAACATCACCATGTTGCATGTTAATTTGCTGTTCATTCTCGGGCTACAAGTTTGAACCTTGACTGCCATTCTAATGTATTTG